TGGGTCCGTAGGGAATAAAGGGGATAGTTGGTCTCTTAGTTCAAGAGCTACTTCTTAAGTTAAACTTGAGATCTATTGTGTATTGATGAATTCAACACTTAAGGAATTTGGAAAGTACATTGTTTAAACTACTAAAACTGCCCTGACGTTCTCGACGTCGCTATTAAAATAATGAGAAATATTATTCCCTGGTGACTCAACGGTAAATCTATCGCATCATACTAGTTTAGATATACTGGTACGATGCGGTAGATTATATTATACTAGTAGGATGCGGTCCATCTTGCCACTGGTCATCCTACACTATGTTTCCTTTACGTGATCGCTACATAAACAGTTTTTCTCGCTTTTTCTCATGTGACCCGCTTGCTGATTTTGATTTTGTACGACTTGAGAAAGGTGGCCGGTAGCGGTTGGATGCGATAGAGTTGGCGTGTTGAAGGGGAGGCTTATGTGCAGCATGGATATGGATGGGTATAAGCTGTTGATGATGATGTACTAGTATATGAATCATCAGTCCTGTCTACGCATCATTGTAATGATATTCATGTTCAATACGCGTAAAAAAACGTAAACTTTCAATATAAGTTATTAGTACTGCCAGCTGATTTTTTGTGGGGAAAAAAGATCTAACTTTAGGGTGTTACCACACCAAATAATCTATTGACCACCGATTATGATAGAATGAGATGAGTCGTTGTTGATTGACAGCTTCTACTGCATCAAATTGATCGCTCGATTTGTCATTGTACGATAAATGATTGAAGATGTATCTAGGCTCTTCGATTTTTATTTAAAAGCTATTAAAAAGTTCACTGCATTAATTACTAAATTCGTCATCTATTGACAGTTGAATAATTGCCAAATGTTTCCAAACCAACTGATTGGCGTCTTTCGATTAGTATGGTAACACCTTTAGGGAAAGTCGTTCTATATCGAGGGTAGAGTCCTGTCATGAAATGTTAAACGTATTTTTTTTATCGACAGTCAATAGAGCCAACATAATTATAACTATTTTAGAACGATGGCTTCTTAGAATCCAGGTAAAGCTGCAATCATACACACACACAAACATCGTGCCTTCACTGTCGTTGCAAATAGCCTGAATGTGCCGTTTCAACAATATTCACATGAGATGGTTCCATTTGTAATTAAAAATCGGAAGCCTAGTATACTAAGTCTACCAAGTTTATTATAATAAAGCCACATGTGATTATGCGTCACAAACGCTTTCATCATAATATAAAAGACACAAACATATTGCATGAAAAACATTATGTGTATGTGAAATTATAACTCTCCTATTTTACTATAAAACAAATTAGACGATTGTAAAAGCGCTACAGTGGCACTTCAAAAGTTTTTAGTTCACTAACTGTGGCAAAAGTGGCGCGCGCCACTTATAAAAATTAGTTAGGGCGCGCGACACTTATAAAAATTAGTAGTGGCGCGCCTGCAGCGCTTTAGCAGAGCCACTGCAGCGCAGCGCTTCTATAAGCGTCTAGTTTGAAAGCGCCCTAAGGGTGCGAAATTCTAAGTGACGTTAAGCACAATTCCTGTAGATATCTATCCTGCTAAGTGACTATCGTTACAAATAGTATTATCGAATGATGAAAGAAACAATATAACGCTGTATTGTTATGTTTGTCTTATTTGTTATACTTATATAGTAATTCACGGGAAAAGTTACACATGAAGATCAACAATAACGTGACTTTAAGCGTTATCAATCAAAAAGGCACGTCGATTAGACAGAAAAATAGCAGTAAATATCATTAACCCATCTGAGAGTGTGGCGTTTAGGTCATAAGTCCGCCATGTTGGCCCGTTTTCTGAGGGTTACTGGTACGATGTTTTCCTTCACCGAAAAGCTCATGGTAAATGTGAAATTAAATTGCGCACATAAATTTTGAAAAACGCAGAGGTTTCTGCTTGATCAAACCACGGCTTACGAAATGTTAGTCGTGAAGAGCAACAAAAACGTGATTTAAGGATTACCATGAAAAAAACAAACCCGTCGATAAGATAGAAATTCAGTCAAACATTTTTAATGTGCTATAAGTAGACCTCGATTCACAGGGGTATCACGGAGGGTATAGAATGGCGCGTTAAGGTCAGGCTTCAGAATCGCTCTTAAGGCCAAGGCGCTTACCCGGTCAGGGTTGAAGGCTCGCTCAGATTATAATATAATACCCCTTTCAGGTGGTAATTACCGTGCTAATGACCGTACAGTACTATTGTTGCAACGTCATTATTATTGTTAGGAAAACAATGTGATTAACTTGTTTATAAGGATGGGTAATTTTGTTTTAATTACAACAACGAACCAGTACAGCAATAAGACTGTAGAAATTCAAACAATTTTTCAATATTACATTATTGTTTAAGAAATTATTGATATAAAAATCATGGGTCATAATCTGACCCGCTAAGTGGATTTTTTATTTTAAACTATTTATTTTATGTAAAAAAATATTGAAAATCTACGGGGTTGATATGTAACTGGGTAATAAAGATTTGATATTAAGTAAACGAAGTAAACATATTTTTAATTGTGTGGAAATCCTAATTAGGTTATTGTCAGACTTTCTGTCAAAATAAATGTCACATCAACCATCATTCTATTGAGTGATCGACAATAAATACAAAATACACAAATATTTTGCACTAACTTACATTTTTTATTTAAAAAGTCATTTTTTTATTCCATAATTGTCAGTGCAGTAAAGTGACACAAACGATTGTAAAGTACACATACTTTTCTATAAATCAAGCAATATGTTATTTATGTACGCCGTGGGTATGGTTTTTATTCTTTGGTGGGCGAAGATCTTTGTAAGCGATGTTGGATAAAATAAATTTTATACAGTTAATTAAACGTACGAAGGGTACGAAGGGACGCCATACGATATGTTGCCGGCATTGCGACTCCTGAGCGGTGACACATAGTGCGTTGAAACGGCGCGCTGCCACGGAATGGACAAGGGGCCAGGAGACGAAGCGCAGAGGGGTGCTGCGATGCATAAGTAAGCGGCGTTAAGTCACTTTTGTGATACCGCAATGCTGGTGTAGCATTCGGTGCGTTGGAATCACAGCGTTGCGACGACGCAACGCATCAACAGTACCAGTGTGACTTCGAGCGATGCGAAGTCAATAAAATTTATCTCTTCGGTGGAGCATAAAACCGACCGTGCAAAGCCAATAAAATATTCATAAACAAAACGAGCCTCAGAAGAGGTTTTGCAGTTTATTTTATTAAAATATTAACGCACAAATTTTTGTAGGCAACAAAATCACTAATAAATAATGATCTCGAGCGAATTCCGAGAAGAAATCCCGCTTGTAGTTTATTACGGCACCTGTCCAATTCGTAGTAAAGGCACGAGAAAATTCGTGCCTTACTTATTCTTTAAGAAGCTTTGAAGCGTTAAACATTCAAGGCTTGTGGACTTTGCAGAGAACTGTAAACTGAATTTACAGAATCTTTTCATAAGAAGTTTTCCTTGTAACTTAAGAACAAAAAACCAAATACTGTCGTAACTCAAAAATGGTGGAATTGAGAAAATAAGATTTGTAATGTATTGTTGAGATTTTGTGGGAAATAACTCCACTAGTTTTATTACAATTATTGATACAAAGATTGAACATATAGAAATACTTTTTCGATTCGATGTGACTTGAACTCTCGAGCATGCTGCGCAGTATTGCTCTTACCTATCTAATATGATGACTAAACATGCGTGTACAAGGACAAATTTAATAAAGCGCATTCCAAGTATTATGTGAGTTCCGATTTAACCCATTTCTAGGATCTTCAATGGTTGAACTAATCAAATTATAGATATGAACTGTCGCAGAGAAGGTGGCACTGTTGTCGTTTGGATGTGTTCAAAATTATCAAAGTCATCTGAATTATCCGACGATAGTTGGAAGGCTGCCATATTAGAAAAGGAAGGGAGAATGCTTTATAAACGAACGCGCATAGTCAAGAAAGGCTTTTGGTGTTACGATTTAGAAAGTAAACAAATGGTAAGCTCTCCCTGCGAGTCCACAACACGTCGTTTAAATCCGAGTTAAGTGTAATTTGGCTTTTTTAATATTGTGAATAAACGAATTAGTTGCAATTTTCGGACGTAATTGTTTAATCGCCAATTGAACGAATTGATGATGGAAGCAGTCTCCGGCAACGAATCTCTAGGATTCTCCAACATATGCGTTACGCTTACATTACTAAATAAATTTAAAACCAATAATCTACACATTGAAGTCCACAGGTAACAAATTTGAAGGGCCTATGTTTTCATAATTATTATGTGAATTAAATGTGAACAATTCGATAGAAAAAAATAAAGAAAACTTTTAATCAGTAAAGCCAAACATGACGAACAACCTTTCAAACCTTGAATACAATAATTTTAAATTCATGATTTCCAATATTACGTAAAGGACCTTTACCTTTTCTCATTACCATATCAATAAAGATCAAGATTGTAATGGTAGCGATCCATTCTATAAATATTCTTGGTTCTGTATTGAAGATATTAAAGGTATAATTTTCGTAAAACCAATAACTGTAACCAAATGAGTCATCGAGGTAAAGCCAACATAATTTACTGCAGCAATTTAAGTTAGTATTTAAATAAAACTTCGTCTGTGACCGGTGCCCAGCAGTCGGACATATAAATGATGATGATGATGATGATGGCTTGAAATAAGTATTTGAGTTTTGAATTAGTAGATTATATTATTAGTAAATTGCAGACAGAATAAGGGTTCAAAACAGTGTAGAAAAAATTGTGAAAATGTTATATTTTGGTCCACTTTATGTAACATAAAAACTTTGTCAAAATCATCAAGAAAGTGAATGTGGAATAATGCAATGCAGGATTTGCAGAAGAGAAAGATGGAGAGAGAATACCAACTCTCATTCCTTGAAGACAACAAATCAAAGAATTAGCTCAGTGGTAATAACATAAACGCAAAAAAGGAGAAAAACTCACCCAACAGTAACATCAAAAATATTGCTACCGACGGAACTGGAGACGGCCATGTCTCCGAATCCCTTTCTCGCGACGATCACCGACGTGATCAGATCAGGGACCGATGTCCCCGCAGCCAGGAGCGTCAGCCCCATTACTTCAGGAGGCACACGTGCCGTCGCTCCTGCGACATTCGCCCACCATGCCATGAGGTAGGAGAAGAAAGCTATCCATATTATCGACCCCACAAACGTTACGGGGAAGTATTTTTTCCCTGTAAAAGAATAATTAAACTGTAGCAATTTGACAGAGTCAATACATTTAGTATTGGTTTCGTGTTTTATTCTCAAAAGAGTTACGGAAGATCGGGAAAATGGAAGAAAAGGATTGTAGGAAATGTATCAGCTTATACATGTAGTTGATAATAACTTTTTCCATTTAATGTCATTTTATTCCTTTAATTGGTTAACAAATTATAGTTACTTTACAAATTATAGATACTTTATATTTAAAACAAATATAAAGTTGATAAGTTAGAGAAGTCCGCTATGTTTAGGACCACACGCTGCAAAAGTTTACCGTGTTGTAAAGTCCAAATAAGAGCACATATTTGGATGTAGGAATGTCACATCACATTATGTTTGTAGTCTAAGGTTCTTGCAATGAGGAAATACAGGGGAAGCGTAGTTTTGAATATTTTGTTAAAATAGAAGCAATTTACCTCTCGGCGTCCTAGTATCCGGGAGGGTGATCCAGAGTGGGAAGACTATGGGCGCAACTAACAGATATGTCAGTCGCTTTCGGAAGCCTGTCGGCCACGACATATCCAGTGGTGTCATGTCCTCTTCCAGGTCTCCTATCTAGAGATACATGAGAAATTATTGCTAAGATTTCGAGATAAAACCAGTCGTAACCTGTATATGTAGGTGCTCTTTGTGAAGCTGTGAATATAGTATGCATCTTAGCCTGCCTAAAAACTAAGGATGCTCTCGTATCACAATCAAAACCAATAACAATATTAATATGACATCTCTACGTGCGTCATAAAGGTATGAACTGTATTTGTCAGCAGTTTCATGTAACTTTTTAAAAACCAACTTCTGTGAATGTTGAAAATCGTTATTGAAACATGAAAAAGACAAGGTACCACATACCTCTTCTATAGCATCTAATTGAACGTCCGCTAACCCCCCATTGGGAAGATCCAACGGTGTCTCCTTTGCCTGCGTGGCGGCAGCGGCCGAGTGCCTCGCGGATGTCGCTCCCGCTCCCCCCGCCGTCGGCCGAGTGGCTTCTAGTAACACCTTCAGCGACGCTATTGCGTGCAACTGCGTTGCTTTTTCGTCCACTTTGCCTGTGAAAGAAAAGGGTAGATATTAGAGATAGAGTTTTAAGGTTTTTGCAATTACTACGCATTGGAAATGATAGAATTTTTTTTTTTAAATAGCGTAATTTTGTTTTCCGAAAAAATCAACGTTTCGCGGTCCCATGGTCACGATTGAATGAGCACGAAACCTTAGTTACTTTGAATAAACAAATTTACGCGATTTTAAATCCGAAAATGTAGTTTCATTTCCAGTTAGAGATAGTTTTTTTATTTTTGTGATTATTTAAAAAATTGCCTATACAAAGGCGACGGTCTTTTGTTAATATTCGCCGGACTGCAGAAGCTTTTCTGGGGAATAATTAACACAAGAGAATGTGTACCAGTAACACAATAGAATAATGTAATTATATTTATAAATAGATTTACATACATTGATTACTTAACTAACTAGCCTAAAGATAAAATTAAATAATGTGTAAGGAAAACGTGCGGTTGTTTTTACATATAAAACATTTGACAAGTTATATATAATTTTGTGTAGACAAGACATGTGTAATGTGGCTAAATTTGTAAGTCTTCATATTAGACGCTTATAGAAGCCACTGTGGCGCTGCAGTCGTGACATTACTAATTTTCATACAATATTTAGACGCGCAACTGCAGAGCCAGATGAGCCACGCGCGCAGCTTTGGCAGACTAGGTATTGCATGAAAATTAGTAGCCACTGAAGCAGTTCTTCAAACGTCTAATTTAAAGACGGCCTAAACATAATCTAGGCTTAAGTCTAGTGTGACTAAATCAGAATGAAAATTATTTCATAAACAACAAATGATGGATATCCACACAGATCATAAAAAGCTAATCCGTCTATAGATCCCATTGAATATCAAAGTAGACTGGGAAGGCGTTCGTCTTCGACCTGAAAGGCAAAAGACGTTAAGGAGACATTTTTTGCAAACGACTCTCACAAAGACTCGAGATAAGAGGACAATGCCCGACTTAGCCATTGTGGTTTGTAGCTTTGGTGTTGCTCTCATTATTTGGGATACTTTAGGGCTTTCTTTACGGGACCGTTAATGGTGGATATTGTACCCGCCGTGTTAACAAATCTTTTTGCTACATAGAACTAGGTATATTTGTTTTTTTTATGGTACCAAGTGAGAGGACGAACAAGTTGTACGTCTGGTGTTAAGCGACACGCCTGGTTACTCATAAAAACCGACCTCGAAAGTTCGTGGAATTACGTCTATTTGACAAGTTTTATTGAAATCGGTCACCGGAAAGTGGCGAAACCAATTTCTCACCTTCTTTCCAAAAAAAAAGGAATCACCGAAATCGAGAACTAAGAACCGAGAATGAGACTAAACTTAACTTACCATAATTAAGAAATAAAATCTATTAATTTCAGTACAATTTGTACTAATGGAAATTTTGGCAGTGCGAAACCAATTTAATTGTAAAAGTAGGAACAAACAAACATAAATTAAAAAAAGATTTGTAGTTTAAGGCGCGTCGCCAGACTCAATAAGTATAGTTGGCATTGTTCCTCATTGTCTCGAGTGAAATATTAATATTTAGGTTCTAAAATACAATTACAAGTAACATGTTAATCTTTTCAAAGAGTTCAACAAGTTCAGACAAAATTCAAAGTGACCAAATGCAATGTTGAGATTAAGGTTCAATTTATTTTGCGGCGGAACGGAATGGAAGCGATTTTTTGTTCGTTATCGTATCTAGTTTGTACGTTACACTATTGATCATAAAGTTCATTATGCTATGTTACAAAAATTCGCTTCCATCCCGTTCCGCCGAAATATAAATTGAGCCTTAGGCTGGGTTCAGATGGGCGCACACCTGTCGCGCGTTGAAGCGCGTTGGAGAGTTAATTTTGGGCATAAATCAGAACAACCAGGCCACTAATTTAGAAAATATCCTTTGCTAAATTAGTCTTACCTGGAATCGAACCTAGGACCTCCGCATCCAGCAATAGTTTTCAAAATTTTTTTTATACTCGTAGCCTCGTTTCAGTACTTACACATTACAATTTAATTGTGAACAAGCGAGAACCTGCCGCTATCAACTTAGTTTGACCCATTTTAAGCTTGACGTGCTGGTTGATTAATAAAGTTTGTTAAATTAAGTGAACATTTCTACTCCGTAGTTTGTTAAGTGTTTATTTCAAAGGTTTACGGGTGTCAGTTTACAGTGGATTTTCAAATTACGGATAGCATTGTAGTTTTATGCCTTATTAGTATATAGGAATAGTGGCAAATTCAAACGATATTGTTTGTAAAAGTTTCTCATTTATATGAAATATTCTTTATGGCACATTAGGGTTAGGTAACGTAACTAGTAGGCATAGCCATAACAGCGATTTGTCAATAATTAATTACCGCTACGCTATTTTTCGATAACTGTTATTGTAAACTGTTGTCAGATAACCTGTTATTCCGCTGTTTTGTTTTGCATATTTTTAGTGGCAGTAGACCTTGTCAAAGAGTTCGTCCAGGTTAGTACTGCCATCTTCCCTATTTCTGCCGCCAACCGGTAATGTGAGCATTGCTGTGTTTTGAAGGGTAAGGGTGCTGGTGAAATTACAGGCACGTGGGACTTGTCAACTTACGTCTCAAGGTGACGGGCACAGTGGCACTGCTCCTCAGATCTTTGCGACTTAAAGCTCTGAGTGGCACTGCAACTGTTATGGACAGGCGTGCCACTTACCACCAGGAGCACGATTTATTCGTCCCGTCACTAGGTGTTATTAAAAAAAACATACGACATCACAATGATAGCGAATGAATTGCGTAGTATTACCAGATGGTTACATTTCGTACATTGTTAGTGAGTGACAAATTTAAGTTTTTTTTTTCAGTTGCAACAGCAAAACAGCAACAACTGTAATGTAACAACATCTTATACATTGCGTAAGAATAATGCTATTATCTGCTGTTGTAATAATGACCGTCTCTAGTAATTAGAGTCGAGTGGGGTGAGGGGAACATCGGGAAAAGGAGTACTTAATCTAAACAGCACTATAGTATTTCTGTCGATAAAACAGACAAACCAAGTAGTTTAAACGATGTAAAACAGATGTCACTACTATGCTCCTAATCCGAAAAAGCGAAAACTAAATAACGTTATGATCTCAAAGGTTAATTACTTTTTTCGCCAATTAAACTTTAGAACTGATCATGTCACATTTAGACAAACGCAAAAACTTTGTGAGAAAACGACACTGTGATAAACCATCCTAATGATTCAAAAACATAGGTACACCGGGAGCCGAAAACGTTGCCTTTTTGCACGCTTTTTCAGACAGTTACGCCTCGTAATGTGAAGAAGTACAAAAGGAGCACAAAAGCGATTTGGATGCCAACAGTTTTCGCAATACTGTGTGTCAGCAATAAATATTGACACGGATTCGGTCTGTCTCTATGTTTTACGTACCCGTTACGGTTTTGTTATCTGACTGTTACCTTTACGTTACGTTATCGTTGAGGTTTGAAACATTGCTGGAACGCCTGTAACAGATGTGCGAAATGGACTTCTTATTTTCTGCTATAAATCTCATTACTCTTTTGGTATTTTGTGCAGAACTTTAGTAATACAGAATTTCAAGGAAAACCTTTTTGATCATTTGTAATGTGCACTTTTTTAAATAATCCACATTTATTTATGTTTGATATATTAACTAAAAGTAACGGATGACTCACGTTTAAGTCGAATTTTTGCTCGACATGTTTCGAACCAATTCGTGGTCATTAATCATAAGATTCCGCGGCGGTGACTCGACGGAAACTGCGCGTCAAAGCCCTGGCAGCCCGATCACTCAGTACGGCAGCGGGCGCAGGCGGCGTCGGCGAGAATCTAACCTTTAGAGAATCTAATGTTTGCTTCATTTTTATTAAAGTCATATGCAGGATTGCACACTACACTAACAACGTCACTTTCTAAAGTCTCGTCTATACTAACCACTGACGTAGTATCTAACACTGTTTTAACACTGTTTTCCAGGCGGGGGGTACCGACCATCCACTATCACGATTGAAATTCGAATGATGACCAATCTCGATAGCTTCACGTACTTTCCGCGGAATGAAATGCTTTTCTCTCGCCAGTACGGACACTTTATCAAAACGAATATAGTGCGTCGCATCCGAATCCAATGAGTGTTCCGTCACTGCAGAGCCCCGATTGTCCCGGTTCTTAATAGTACGTATGTGTTCCGTTAGTCGTGTGGATATGTTACGGCTGGTCTCTCCTATGTATGAGTCTCACGGTGGTTTTCTATTTAAAATGTTTGATATATTATATTAATGTTTCCACCTATATTAGTTGATATATGTTAGTATCTATGTTAGAATTCCATCTATGTTAGTAGCAGTAGAGCTCTTTGTGAAAGAGTTGGTCCAAGGTAATATCAGCAATACTGTGTTCCGGTTTTGAAGGGTTGAGTGCTGGTGAAATTATCGGCACCTGGGACTTGTCAACTTATGTCTCAGGGTGACGAGCGCAGTGACAGTGCCCATCAGATCTTTGCGATTTAAAGCTTTGAGTGACACTGCAACTGTTACGAACAGGCGTGTAGCTTACCATCAGGCGTACGGTTTGTCCGTTCCGTCGCTTACATTATAAAAAAAATCTACGGATAAATTATAAATGAACTGTATTCAAGGTAACACTATCATTATGTTTAAGCATTCTAAATTAATATTTTGTATTCAAAAATTATATTTGATCGTCTTTTTTATTATTGGTCTTTTAGCGATTGATGACATTTCTAATCAGTGTATCTTTTACAATACAATACAAATATTCTTTATCGCACACGGACAAATACATAATAACAATATAATAAAAAGTAAAAATTACAGGTGCAACAGGCGGCCTTATTGCTAAATTGCAATCTCTTCCAGGCAACCTTCGGGTTACATAAAAAACTGTAAGATAAAATTATTTATGGGCGCAACAGAATACACATATTGCACATATACAAATGAAGAAGAAAATAATGAAAATACTAAATAAATAACTAAAATATATAATATATACCGAATTACCGAATTATTGTTC